GTACTTAACTAGCCTCTTATCAGACATCTTCAACTTCATAATACATGGCATGGCCAAAATATCTTTCAAAAGGAAATAATGCCAAATATTATATTGCTGCTCAATTCTAGCTTGGGTACGTGCTGACAAACATCTCATCAGAAACCACAGGCCAGGGAAGATTTTGGCCATCCTGTTGCCTCCTGAATTCTCTAATGGAACAAAAGTCCTTGTAGCACAGAAGGGGGTTCCCACATAGAAACTTTTACTCTGTCTCATGAATCGAGTACAACACTCTTGTAGAGAATAAGCCAGGAATACTCTGCTACTATGCCTAGATTCACGACAGAGACTGCACTAGAGATCACGACCAAATAGGATACCAAGAGGTTATATAAAGCACTGCATGAAAGAAGAATATGATATTATTCAACTGGATAAGAATAGCTGTACTATCATATATGTCTGTTTCTTACTTTATTTTTTTTAAAACTTAGATCATAAATTCTCTGTGAACAAGACCTTATTATATCCCAGTGATGTTTATCACAGTCCTTGGTATATAGTAGGAACACAGTGAGTAAGGGGGGAAAGCACAAAAACATTGAGTCTCTAGTAGCTGGAGACATTAAACATGTAAATGATTACCACATAATTTTTTACACAATGGAAGATATCATGGCTGACAACATCAGCACATTCCAAAGGGGCCAACGTAGAGGACAGAGTTTCATGATTGCAAAAATATTTATAGCAGTTCTTTTTGTAATAGTAAAGTACTCGAAGGAAAGTGGGTACCTGTCACTTGAAGAATGGCTGTACAAACTGTAGTATGTGCAAGTAATGGAATATTACCACACCATAAGAAATGACAAATATAAAGAATTTAGAGAAACTTGGCCAAGACTTTAATAAATTGATGCAGAATAAGCAGACCCAGCAGAACAATTTACACCTAATACAATGGAAAGCAAAATGACACAGAAATAATTTTGGACTCATAGAGACAAATCCTGACTTCAGAGAATTTGTGAAGTGCCCAGCACCTTTTGGCAAAGGAGTGGTGAACAACAGATGCACAATGAAGCGTGGATTGTAAGACAGGGCCAATGTGTTTAGGTCTCTCAATGGCTCCTCTCCCTCCACCCTAGAGGAAAGGAGCCTAAACTGACTATTAACAACTGATAATAATTTATCAGGAAACCCTTCCTGTTTGCATTTCTGCAAGCATTTCAAAAGAGAATACATGGATCATTTTTTTAATAAATCCAAATCTTTTCTCAATGGAATTTCAAATATTACAGAATCCAAGTGGAAGAAAATTTTATCTTGTTTATTTCTTTGAGGTTTAGTATTTCACAATATTTCTCAACTCATACCATGTAAGTGATCACATATGCCATTCATGCATAGGGCCAATTCAACTTCCTTACACCAGTGATCTCAATTCCATTAAAAAAAAGAGCTTTTCTTATTTGCTAATGTTGTATGTTGTGTGTGGTTGTGTGTGTGTGTGGGGTGTGTGTGTGTGTGTGTGTGTGTGTGTGTGTGTGTGTGTGTGTATTCATTCCAGTGGGTTTATATGTTTTTTTTCTAAGTCATAAGGCTAAGTTTACATATAGTTTAATGACATTTTAAAAGCTAGTAAAAGTGGATGTAAATGCAAGTGTTATTAAACCTTATTTTACATTAAGGACTTTTAAAAGGATGCCCTGCATTTTTAAAAGACTCGCATAAAAGAATGGGGAGAGGCATTTTATCTTTGAACTGGCTTTTTATTAAAATTGACATCTAATGCTCTTCATAGTCTGGCTCCAGTCTACCTTTCCAGACTTATTTCGCATTGTTCCCTTTCACACATTCTACATTCCAGGCCACACTGTCTCAACTAAGGTGTTCTTCAAACAATATTCCCTCTGCTGTCTCCATGCCCAGAATGCACACCCTCCTCACCACTAACTCTTAAAATTCTTAGCTTCCTTCAAGGCTCAACTGAGAAGCCGTTTCTATCCCCCTGGTTGTAAGGTCTCTCTGGGTAGTTGTATAAATGGTCATATTGCCTAGTGGAATGTAAGTTCCTTGAGGGAAAAAAATTGTTTTCATTTTGTTTTCGTATTCACTATCTTTGGGCACAGTAGGTACTTAATAAATGCTTGTTGAATTGAATTGATTTTCCAGTTATTTGTGAAGGAGTGGGGTGGTCCCTTTCAACATCTGTGCTCCTGTGACCTGTGAATCATATATTTTTAAAAATTCTGTATTTAAACAGTATTCATCTAATATATAAGTAGACACTTGTTAATAATGAATTAAAACAAATTTTATGTGAAACTATAGGCTATGAAACTCCCATTAATAAATGTTTGTAGGTTTCCTAACTTAAAATTTTACAATAAATTACAAGGCTTAAAGTAAGATATAGCCCTCAGTAAGTACATTTTTGTTGTATCTGAATTTTATTACTCTAGCTTTCAAAAAATACCATTTATTCATTTATTCTTATAGGAAACGTTAAGTAGCAACACAATGGAAGTTGTCCATTGGGAAGTCAGCACACAAAGTAAGGGGAAGCAGATGCATTTTCACCTCCTTTACTTCTTCAGGCACCCACAAGCCCATTTACTGCTTTTGGGGGAAGAGTGAGAGACACACTTATAGACATGGTTTAAGTTTCTTTACATTCTCCTTCATCTACAACTATACATTCCTTATATGAAGCCATTAAAGAATTAAACATAAAGAGAATAAAATACAATGATGTGTAATTTCTACAACCTTCCAAGGAGTTCATTTTGAGAATGATGAGGAAAGTATACAGGGAATCATCTTCAAGAGAAACTTCACAATGTTATTTACCTACTCAAGTAGAATATTATTTAAAAATCAGATAAACCCATATCTCTCTACCATGTGCCTTAGAGTGATACACAACAGGCAACAGTTATGTCATAATGCTTTAAATTCCAATGAACGGAACTTAGCTTAATAGCCCATCCTGCTAAACCAATCTTGCACTTATCCTTCAGTCAGGACTCATCATTTGTGAAGCCATCTAACACGGTATCATATTGATCACAGTATCTGTACACCTCTGTGTCATCCTGTCTTACCCAGAGGAATTCCTTACCAATTGATGGCTCTTCCCACTCCAATTCATCTCCATTCAGCTGTCGAACTAATTTTCCTAAAATGCAGGTCTGACTATTTGATCCCCCTATTCAATAAACCCCAGTGGCTCTCTATATTGCTTCCAGGATCAAATAGAAAATCTTCTGTTTGTTTTTTTTAAGCCCTTCATAACCTGGTCCCTTCCAACCTTTCCAGTTTTATACCTTACTTTCCCCTCCACATAAACTGCAATACAGTGACAATGTCTTCCTTTCTTTTATTTGAACACAACACTCCATCTATGACTAAACATTTTCAATAACTGTCCCCAATATGTGAAACGGTTTTCTTCCCCATCTCCGTCTTCTAGCTGGCTTCCTTCAAATCCCAATTAATGTCCAAATTTATTTAAGGAGCCTTTTCCAGTTTTCCTTAATATGAAGCCTTACTCTAACTCTACCCCTAACTGATCCTGAACATATCTTGTTTGTATATAGTTGTTTGCATATTATCTTCCCCTATTAGATTATGAATGCCTCAAGGCAAGGGTTTGTTTTTGCATTTCTTTTTATCTCCAATGCTTAGCACAGTGCCTGACACATAGTAGGCACTTAATAAATGCTGACTGAATGATGGACTGACTCTAATCATCCATTTGAAATGCATCTAATGTCAATCCCTCTATACATAGACACTAACAATCACCATGATTATAACATTCTGCCAAAGTCCTGGGTGATGTGCTTGTGAACCTGATTTCTTAAAAGTTGTCAATTAAGAACAAGTTCTGGAAAGTCCAGCCAAAGAAAAAAAAGGCATGGGGTATGGGCTAGTAGACTATGTCTTTTGTCTGAAGACCAAATGATTTCAAGTTCAAGAGACTCATTACCAGAAGGTTAGCCATAAAGTGATCGATTTGTCTTGGCCATAGTACCTTATGAAATTCATTCACTACACTTAGCAGTACTTTAATCTATGCTGGTAAATGGACTACCAATTTTGATAAAATCATAGATTTTATTAGGTGAGAAAGGCAAAAGGAGAAATATTAGTAAAAGAAATACTAATAATATTCTCTGTAGGACTAGACCTATAATTTCCTTACTTCAAGGAAACTCCTTGGTTTGTTAACATCCGCCATTGATGCACATTAGAATTATCATTTCCTCAGTTTAGGAAGTTCCTTGGTATATAAACTACCTCCATTAATTCAGGTCGACATGACATCTGTAACTTAAAAGTCTTAAGAGAGTTGCCTGTGGCATGAAAAAGTGAAGTGATATACATATACATACATACATACATACATACATACATATATATATATATGTATGTATGTATATATATGTATATATGTAAACCACTCAGCCACAGTAATATGTTTTAGCAGAAAAGCATGAATTCAGGTTATCCTAACTCCAAGGCCAGGCTACTAATGATACTACCTAATTTTAAAGGTTCCACTGAGATTTGGATGTCAGTACTGGCCTCTACTTTAAACATAGTATTCAGTGTTAATAAGCAGTTTGCAACCTCACTTCCAATGCAAATTTTTAGAATAATCACAGTAGGGGCAGCTAGGTAGCACAGTGGATAGCGCTCCGGCCTTGGAATCAGGAGGACCTGAGTTCAAATCCAGCCTTAGATACTTGACACTTAACTAGCTGTGTGACCCTGGGCAAGTCACTTAACCCTGATTGCCTCACCAAAAAAGCAAAAGAATAGTCATACTACATTTTGGTAAATTTATTTGCAACTCTAAATTGTGATTCTTAAATATATTTGGCCTTAAAGTCTTGAAATTTTGCGATAGGAGCCATTTTCAGCGCCAGGTGATATGGCTCTCTTCTCATAACACCATATTAACAAAGAATTTTTTCTCTAAATTCATATTTTAATATTTTTATACTGACCTGATGCTAGCAGACTTTGCTTTCAAATCATTCCATCTCTGGTTCATATCATCTAGTCGATGTTGGAGCACGGCAGCCTCATCTGAATTTCCCAAAGCTTTTACCATATTCTGCCTATTTCCATCAATATTTTTAAAGATGTCATTGTGGGCATCAATTTCAGCCTGTATGTCCTATGAAAATAAGAAGATAAAAATACAAATGTTAAATACTAATATGTCAATATTACCTGTGACCAATAAACACAGTTTATGTGTGTGTGTTTATGTGTGTTTGCATAACTAAATTTTTACTGGTTTCTTATCAAAGTATTTCACTTTATAACATATTAAATTCAATGACTGACTTTTTTTAAATGTTTCTTCCTTGGAAAATTACAGAATTCAACACCTACCTGTTTCAGCAGGACTTCAAAAATAAACAATGGATTTCTGATTTTTACTTGTTTAAGATTACTTCAAAGACAGAACCTTTCAGGTCCTATGTGAAGTTGGGGATTTGTTCCTGTTGTTTTTAATGTTGTACTCCTCATAGTTTCTAATTTTAACAATGGCCTCAAATCATTTAGCTTTATTTTGTTACAAAAGTTAAACCACTAATTCTTGTCAAAAAGAAATAGCTACTCACTCTCTCCTTTACACACATTCTTTTAAATGTGTTAAGGTCTTATAATGTACACTATAAAATTGCACAATTTTATATTGCTGTACAAACCAAGAATTAGACACACCTAAAAGTTTTTTGTTTTGACTATACATAATATGTAAAAAGCCCTAAGAAAGAGCAAGAAAGCTTTTCACCTATCTCCTTTCTCTATTAAAAGAATACTAACTTAATTGCCTCCAATGATAGTTGGATGCTAACTTTTTCTTTCTAGATGAAATATAACAAACAAATTGACTGGAAATACAACTTTTGGATTTAAGCTGATTCCTTTTAACATTAGGCTTCTTAAAGTCAGCAAGATGAAGGATCATGTATTTCAAATTGAAAGAATCTTAGAAGTCAATTAGTATAAATTATTCATCTTACAGATGAGAAAACAGGCCCCAAGGGAATTCAATGGCTTGCCCAAGGCCGTACAGGTAGTTTCAAAATTAGGATTTGAACTCACATCCTTTGACCCCCAAATCCAATGCTTCTTCCACTGAAAAATATTATTAAGGTTGTTCAAAGAAGATCATTACATAAACTTTAATTTATTTTTTTTAACAGCACTTGTCTAGGAATAACTTCGGGAGCCAAGATGGCAGCATAAGGAATAAATCGCCATAATTTTCCCATATTCACCTCCAAACAACCACAAAATAGTGCCCCAAAACAAATCCTGGAACAACAAAACCAGCAAAAACACAGGGTGAAACAATCTTTTGGCCTAAGAAACTTGGAAGATTGGCAAGAAAGTCTCATTTGGGTAAAAGAAACCTGGAAAGACCTGTATGAACTGATAAGTGAAATGAGCAGAACCAGGAAAACATTGTACACAGTATCAGTGACATTATGTGATGATCAACTATGAATGACTCAGTTCTCAGAAACACGATACAAGACAAGTACAAAAGACTCATGAAAGAAAATGCTATCCACATCCAGATAAACAACTGATGGACTCTGAATGCAAACTGAAGCATATTTTTTTTCTTTTTCACAGTTATTTTCCCCTTTTGATCTGTTACTTCTTTCACAACTGTGACTAATATGGAAATAAGTTTTACATGCTAGCACATGCATAACCTATATCAAATTCCCTACCATTTTAGGAAGAGAGGAGGGGATGGAGGGAAGGAGAAAATTTTGGAACTCAACATCTTGCAAAAATGAATGCTAAAAATTGCCCTGACATGTAATTGGGGGGGAAATAAAATATTATTAATCATAAAAAAAGAGTACTTGTTTAAAATGACCCTCAATAACCATTAAATCACAAAAACACCAAATACAACCTCACATTTTCCTTAGAAATTGAGCACCGAAAGAACATGCCAAATTTTATTACTTTTATTTAGGCAAGATATCATCCCCTGGTACACTGATATATCAAAAAATAAGGAAAGGAATCATTAAAACTACTGTATTTTGGGAGACTGAAAGAGTATGCCACTAGTATGACACTGATGGCCAAATCAAAATCAAAGACTGGATGAATGGTTTGATTTCTACTTAATTTATACATATATACTTGTGATGACATAATGTATCTAATCAAAGAGACAAAGAAAGCCAAAGAGATAGTCTAGAGATTTACCGAAGGGACCATAATAATATAATCAAGAACTTATAACATAGGATTGAACAGCATGAAATGTAGTTCTTCTGGTAAAAAAATTTTGGCTGACCATGGTTCAATGGCATGGTCAAAAAACCAATGGGCTCTTTCAGAAAATGGCTGGTGATGTTAATGATAGGACAAATTTTTCAACTTCTTAAGGTATAAAAGATTATTTCCCCCAGCTTTATCATTTCAATGACAACCCTGAATGCATAATCACATAATCAAAATCTCAATCAGCAGTCTTATTGTCAAACAAAAGGAAAATATTTTTAGTTTTTTAATTGAGTTTTAAAATATTCCATTTTATCTTTTTAAATTTAGCTTAAAGAAAGAGAATTTGTACATACAAACTTTGTACTATACAATATAATTATGTTTGCATAATACATGGTGATCATAGAGTGAATTTAAAATTTGGCAATGAGGGCAAGTGCTTTTTAAGAAAGAAGCAGTTATGCTAATTAAACTATGTAATGTGGGAACTGTTTGATAATTCTTATTTAGATACAAAGATTTAGAATTTAGAAAAAAATTTGGAAGCAATCGGCACAAAGATCCTGGATAGGATTAATCCATTCTCTTCCTCTTTGTTTACATTTTGTTTATTTTTGTATGGTATATTTACCCAACCCTACATGTCATTAATAGTGTTTTCTTCTGATGGTGTCCTGACCTTTTTCCTGAAAGTGAAGAAGTGATCACTCCTTAGAAACAACTTCCTTGCTGTATCCCAAAGCTCAGGCCAAACAAACAAAATTAGCTATTAGAGGAAAATAAATTTACCATTCCTTTGCAAAAAGCAGACAGGAACTCACAGTTTAAGAGTGATTATGTAAACTCAAGGGATCATTCATTTGATACTCATTCCCCAGACTTCTCTAATTTTGAGTATAGGAAGATATATTCCTATATAGGAACATAGAAGACCTTAGAACATCTAAATGTTACCCATATGAAAAACACATAAAAAAATTATTTGGTTCAATATGAGACACAACATGGTTTCCAAAGTAAATATGCTTATGGGACAGTTCTCAGTGCTGATTTGGGGGTTGTGTAAGATTCTTTGGTCAACTCTGACAATGAAAATGAATACACACATTAGTTGACTTATTTCCATCACTATTGTGCAGGTTTAAACCTCACTTTTCACAATTATGGCCAACAATTCTTGGCAGACCATAGCAACCATTACCACTTGAGCCACAAAAGCTTAAAGCCAAACTTCTTTACTAAGAGTTTTTTTTTTCTTTCCTGTTAGTCTAATTAATGCTCACCTCTGTCCCAACAGAGTAAACAAAATAGTGAACAAGGTCAGAGTATGCCTATTCTACCTCCCAATTAATTTAAAACTACATAATCTGATTATAAAAAAAAAAAACTTGAATCCATTAAGAATAAGGCAAAAAAAAAAATACCAGGTCAAATCACATTATAAAAATAACCAATCTAACAGAAGTCTTGTAGTAACAAAAATAAAAGCAAAATAAATTTCCCAAACTCCAAAGAGTAGCCCAGTCATTTGGCATTTTAATTCAATAAAATCTAGTATGAGAAAAAAATTTGAAATGTCCTTTTAAAGTACTACTATTAATAAAAATATAATAATAGCATTTATAAAGCACTTTAAGGTTTATAAATAATAGCATATTTTATCTTTCCAACTATCCTGAGAGGTAGATGCAGTTATTATCCCTATAATAATACAAATGAGGAAACCAAGACAGGCAGGTTAAATAAGTTGTCCAAGGTCACACAGCCACTAAGTGTCTATGGATGAATTTGAATTTATCTTTCTGACTCTAAGTTTAGCACTATATCCACTGCAACACCAAATTACTTAGTAGACTAAGTAGATTGTACCTGAATATAAATAAACTTATTTTAGTATAGTAAAAACAAATTTTGTGTACTTTATATTTAAGTTTTCAAAACAGTCCTTATACTTATCAAATTTTGAGCATTAGGGTGAGACAATGAATTAAGGTCATAAAACAACTATAAAGCTTTGGGGGGAGGGGTGGCATACGGAGGAAGACCCAAGTTTGCCTATCTTATACAGGTTAGAAATCCAGCAGAACCTCTCGCAGCTTGAAAGTTTTAACATACTCTGTTTTTCTAGCCTGAACCAGTTTGTCCCTCTTCAGGCAGTCTGGTGGTCCTCCACTTCTGGGGGCTCTCCACATTGGAGCCAGTCTTAGTGTGAACACCCTGGCTTTAGTCCTATTACAGCTCAAAATTCCTGAGTTCAGGCAATTCCCCAGTTTCAGCTATTCAAGGAGAAGGGAATAAAGGTATGTTCCACCATGCCTGGCCAGTAGGTATTATTCTTAAGGAACATCTTTTCATATATACTTCATAACCCCATTAGATTTCAAATGAGGTATCAAAACTTCCAACCACAAGCTTAACACGTTCACTTCCTATTCAATTTAAACCAGTACTGCTATGGGAAACATTTGGCTTCTTCTATAAACTACTCATTCTAGCTGGAAAGGAATCCATTCCATTGATGAAAAGAACATATACTATATTTTTCCTCTTAAAAATTATATGTAGTTGAATTACCAGGATAATTTCAACTGATTTCTTTAAACCAGGATGGGGCGGGGTGTTAATTTATTCAATTAGTTGAGTTCTGTCTTTTCCCCAAATAAATCTGAACTTTTTATGGTTTCCTTATCTACAAGGCTGGGGTCCTGCTGCTGTCACTTTAGGGGATTACAAAAGGATTCTCCAAGAGAATACTGCTACTTAGGCAAAGAAGCCCTTGAAGAGAATGGCAATTACCATAAATCAACTAGTGGTGGAAATGCAGATATTAAAATAAGACATTAAGTTACTTGAAAATGTCATTCAGATGGAACTGCCTACCATTATACCTACTATGATTACTATGTA